CCTGCGAAGTTTGTGTGGATTTTGTACCTGATGCTGCTCTAATCAAATGCAGTGTAAAACTTATGATGGGGCCTGCACCGCACACTCAACTCGATGCAGAGTTAGCTGCTGGGATGGGCATGCCAGACAATGGACCAAAGCTCATGTCAATCTGAGCATTATGTTTTCTTTAGTATGTGATCCAAGTATTTAGGAAGATAAACAAGCCCTTGCCGCAGAAGGGTGTGTGTAAAAATTGCCTTTTTCTTAATTGTTATTTATCTTATGGCAAAAGAAATGTTAAATCAGTTTTGTTCTGCAGCTAATTATGTCTCTTGATAGAACATTTCTTCTGGTAGGTCAGAAAGTGATAAAAAGTTAAATGAATAGTAAAAACATGGAACATGCTTTGGATTATTGATTTGCATTTAATTGTGCTTATATGAATAATAAACTAATATTTTCTGATAAATAAATTATGTCGGCTATTTGTTCTATTTGCCGAGAAATTTACTAAACTCTTATCAAACCAGCAGCTTACCAGCCCATGAGCACATTCTTTCTCAATTTTAGGCTTCACCTAGGCTTGCAAGCCTAGTCTAACCCTTCCCCATAATGGACTACGCTAATCGGTTGGGTTAGACTCTTTTTCTGAACGTGCTCTGTGTTTGGGTTTGATTCACCCATGACAGTGGCCGGGGCGAAGTAGTCTGGTTTGTGGGGATGTCCGGTCAAACCAGGTTGGTCCATCTCGTTTATATCAGCATTTGACAGTCCACCTATTTGTGCTTTCAATCGGTAGTGAACCAGTTTGTGCTTTCAATCTAGTTGCATGATATACTTGGATTTGTTCTGGCAGATGCATAATAAGATCATTAACAATTTTGTGATAAGCTCCATGAATTTTCTACACATTAAAAGTTGCCAAAGTTTTCAGCATATTGGAACTTTGATACTGTAGTAGGTACTGAGTATATATTAAATTGAACTGGAGTATACATAGACTAGATATTGAAGATTGTTAAAAGTTGCAAAATTCTAAAAAAAAATAGCTTGATTTAGTTTGTTTCTACCAATAACTTCCATTATTTTCATATGATCCATACCGAATGCATTTATACATGCCTCATTTTTGCTTTCTTCATTCAATATATGCAAGTAATGACAATATTGATCAAATGTGTATAGGTCAATCACCATATAAACATAAGCTTGTTCCCTAGTAGATTCATTATCAAATAAAAAAATTGGTGACATAACATGCAAAACTGATTACAAACAATAATTATTAACTTACAGTATTAAGATAACCAATATTCATTAACATTTAGATTTGAAGCAACTATAATACGCACCAACTTTTATGGTAATTGTAAATCGCTTAACTAGAAATTTGGTAGAGACTATTTATTTTTGGTACGTTAAGCACTGAGGTTCAATAGATATAAGCTCCTTCTGCATGCAATGATTATCAATATATAAGAAGATTGGCAAACTTATTTAGGAGCAGGGGCCAAATGATGGAGTTGGCATCCAATTTAAATTGAAGATAAAAGCTCTTAGATTCTACAACTTACATCTAATGATTTTAGGATTTTTTGGTAAAAAGATGAAAATATCGTTGACTAAAGAACTAAATATTTGTTAAATTGAGAAACTTTATAAGCGCGAAAATGTGATACTTTAATGCACTTTATGGAGACGTGATTATTGAGCTCTACATGAGGGTTCAAGTTACATATTATCAATAATTTGACTTTATACTTTCGCGTATCAATGTTTTAACTTAAAAGAATTGTATGCTCAATGATTCTTAGGTTTAGAACATTAGAAATGATACCAGAGTATATACCAATTCAATAACTCCAAGTTAGTGCAAATTTGGATTTTATGGATATTTGGATTGTATTATATAACTATAATATGTATCAATAATGAGATTATTAAAGATCTAAGTTGTAGATATTATAATACATGAATCTATATGAGAACTCAAATCATATAGTACCAACAGCTTGACCTTGAGCTTTTGAGTGCCATTAGTATTAAAAGTTGTTAGATTAATATTTCATAAACTGAAGGCATTATAAAAAGAGAAGTCGAGTATACTTTAAGTCACAATGGAACTATTATGGAAATAAATCCGAATCATGTACACAATCACACAGATTAAAGAGTAAAAGAAGAAAAAACACAAGATTTTTGTAGTTCGTAAAAAAGCCTATATCTACAGGCAAGTCTGAGTAGAAGTTTTTCACTATGATGAAAATAAATGGTACATATAACCAGTTAAGTTGTTAACCCTGAATATACATAAAATAGTAAAATTTTATGTATTTTCAAAATATTTTTAAAAAATTTCTAAAATATTCTCATAATCAAATTACATAAAAAAATCTTCCCCTTAGCTTGAATTCTTTATATCATATTAATAAAGAAAAATAATCATATCATTCCATTATCTTGCCAAAATGCCCTGATAGAGGCACTATTGAGAATTGCATACTCCAACCAAGTTTACACACTGCCTAAATTTGCTAATAAGGATCGCTTAAGTCTCATATCTGCAAAATTCTCATGTATAGACACCTTCTGAACAATTATAGTGCCCCGTGATACAATGCCCGAATCAAGTGATATTTGAAATCAATATGCTTAGTCCACTCATGCTACATCTGGTTCTTATGAAGTGACTTACTTTTTTCACTCATAGCACCAATCCACTTATCTACATCTGAATTAGGAATAACTTCCTTATAACCATCGAGTGTTTGCAAATTAGTTGTCTCTACAACTGATAACGCATATAAAACTAGATTTTTGTACATTTATAGTGATCTACTATATCTTTTCTTCCTACTTGTTATAATACTATATGATTGTTGTTGATCAGGTGCACCATCATCACCTTCTTGATTAAGATCTTTTACCTCATTCTTTATATTATTGAACTTAACTGTTAGAGTATCAACCTCTAGCTCCACTTATCTGACACTGTGATTTTATTATGCTACTATTTTCTTCATTTGACTATTTAATGAAACAGATTTATTAATATTATATCTCTATTAATAATTAATGTTGGAGACTTTTTCACTACATCCCTTCAACTCTATACAACTTTTAATATGCATATCCTATAAATATGTATTTCTTTGCCCTCATTTCAAGCCTACTATTCCTCAAATAAGTATAAGCAGGACAACCAAATGCTCTCAACTGAGACTAATCAGCATGTGAACCATACCATAACTAAAAAAGAGTTTTGCACTCAATAGTTGAATATTGAGATTTATTAACCAAGAAACATGACATGATCATGGCTAAGCTAAACGAAATCTTAAACGCACAAGATCCATTCGCAGACAAGTGCCCACACAGAGGAAAAATGAGTCCCACATCATGGAGGATTCCTATGGGAAAGAAGAATCCCTCGGTATGATGGATTTCCGTAAGAAATGGGAATCCTCTTCCCACAAGGACTTCCGTAACTCCATCTTCTGCCAAGATTTGGATTTGGACCCAAATTGGTCTCTTAAATCGGTCTAACATCCAGAAAAACCCAAGATTGTTCAAAAAAGTGGGTTTGAGGCATCCTTAGGAAATTATATGGTAAGGAAAAAGCCTAAGTCTTGTTAAAAACCAGCCCATTCCATCTTGATTCCCTTTAGTATGCATCACACATGCAGCCATGTGTGAATCACCCATGTGGCTATGTGGATAGGGATAAAGAGAAGCTCGCCTACATGGAACTTCTTTCTCGAGAGGAAACTTCCCCCTTTCTTGAACCCTCCTTTTGAAAATTTTAAAGAATTTGAGTCCCGCTTGGAAGAAGAGTCACAACAAAGCAAGGGGAAGCCATGGGAGTCACAGTTCAGACTTTTAGAGGAATAAGGAGACTCAACTAAAGAGGATAAGGCATGGGAGATCCGTCCCAACCAATCAGGAATTCTATCCCAAGGAGGATACCCTTACCAGCCAACTTCACCTTCAAAGAACAATCAAGAAGACTTCTTTTTTAAATTAAATTCCAGCAAGAAGGAAGAGTTCCATGCGGCCAAGGAGTTTAATCCAAAAAGAAGAATTTTCACAAGAAAAAAGAACTAAGGCACATAGAGAATTTGGCCATGATTCAAGTTACCTAGCCAAATTCTTCCACCACTTTCCTACTCCAACAATGAGAATTCTTGAATTTCTTAACAAGGATACCTCAACAAAATTAATTATTTAATTTAAGAACAAGCTGAGTACAACACAAGTACTTACAATCCTATTAGGAGACTTCGGATGATTCAAGAGAGAAGAATTTATCTTTTAACTAAATTTTAGTTCTTTTACTATTATTTTAATGCAATTTGGGTTGTATTTAATTTAAGAAGTTTATTAGAATTTTAATATTTGATTTTAATTAGAATTAAATCGGTGAATGCCTATATAAAAGGCACAACCTTAGTTTATAATTGAACAATCAAGTCAAAATTAATAAAATTAAAATTTGTTTTAACTTATGCTATTGTGATTACTTTTTAAGCGAGTTCGTTAACCATTTTGTTGAGTGAATGATTGATCTAATTTATCAAGAGAACCCCTTATAGCATTTTATCAATTTCCTTACCTGAGTATATTTTAACTTGTTAAATTAATTTTTGTGTCATTTTAATCAATTTAGTTTATCTCAATTATCTTAGTTCACAATCACATGTTGATTGCTGGGTTAAATAGAAAAAATTTATTTAGGGATTTAAGATTTCTGAATGTTGATATTATATACAAAGTTTTTGATTACATTATTGATTATCGGTTCAACATCAAAACAAGCAGTGTTAATAGCCTAAGTCTAAAATTTATCTTCAAACCTAAATGTGACAGTATGTTTCGTTCCCTATTATAATATGTTCTATTCATGAATTTTATAATACTATTTTATTGTGATGTTCCTACACAAGTGTGATATCTCGTTATGCATTCTTTATTATAGAAATCATTAAACGCATGATTACAAAATTCTAATCCATTTTTATTTTTAAGACACTTGACATTCCTTTCTACCTATTTAATTATAGTCTTCCAATTTATAAAGGTTAAGAACGTCTCATCCTATGATTTTAGAATATATACCCAAATTATTTGAGAGTAATCACAGTTAGAGTTATGAAGTATTTGACACCACTCTTGGAGAGAAACTTATTTGGACCCTATAAATTAGAGTAAATATAATCCATCTTATCTATGATCTTATACATTGTCCTTTTATTGAACTTCATCTTGATTTATTTGCCAAACGCACAATATTCATAAAAATCCATAACTTCTTCTTTATACCTGTTAAACAAATTTTATTTATATGACCTAGACGTAGATGTCACAACTTTGTATCGTTGCTCCCTAATGTTATAACAACTTCCCCCAAAAATTGT